TATATAAGCGTCACCTCAAAATAAAGTAGATTATTCTTCAATTCAAACTTAAAAGTATTTTGAGACTTAAAAAAATTATACTTAATATCATAAACAAGAGGATCAAAAGACATATTCAATAGAACTTATTTAGTAAAGATTGAATCAATAGTCAATGTTGATTTCATTACTCAAAGATCGAAATACTTTGCCTTCAAGAAGATTATTTTTTTTATCAAAAGTTATATCTCTTTCTTTTGAAGCAAAATAAGAACATCTTGGCAAACCTTGTTGTTTTTTTTGTTGATAAATAATCTTGAAATTAAATCTTAATAAAATTATGCTTTAATAGGCTTAGTAATAATTCAAAACATGTACTTCTATAAAATATTCAAAGTTCTTGTGATCTATATGTATATAATTAAATTAAAAGTGTCTTTTATGTAATAATGCCATTCTTAGAATGAATCTAGAATTTAAAAAAATCTTTATTATAGATCTTATAATTAATCTTAATTGCTAAAAAAAATTTAGAACAAAAAGCTATTAGGTTGAATTTATTATTTTCTTCTATTTAAGACAATATGGCTCCCAAAACAAAGTTCAATGCCTCTATTCCTAAAACAAATGCTTTAAAAAAGTTGATATGATACAATACTAGTACCTATATAAAAGTTACTTTTGAAGCTTTAAAAGATGCTTTAGTTTCTCTATTCTAATTAAATTTGTTTTTATATGTTAGATGTATAAGTAGAGTGGTAATTTGAGAGAAATTATTAATGAAGATTCAATAATAATTGACAAATCTTAAAAAATATGGTTCTTATTATAACCGAACAAACTCATTTTTTGACATATTATCTTTTTTGACAATCATATTCTTCATTTTGTGGTTGAATTATTTCTTTGGATAATGTAGAATTATGTGTTTAGGTTTTGTATAATTTAAACATAATCCTTCTTGACAATGACAAGTCTTTCCTTATTCAATAAGAGATTTAAAACATATTGCATCAATTTATATATTTTTTACTTCCAAATGTATGTATTAAAAAGATGTTGGTATTGTAATTGAATTGTTAAAATGTTGTGGCCTATTTTGTACAACTTTCATATTAAAATTCAAAAATTTAGTTGTCATAGTTTACAACCAAGTCAATTACTTGATTCAATGTTTGAGGATCAAATAAGTTGAATATCAATTTTTTATTTTATATTATAATTTGTAAAAAAATTGACTAATAAATATAGCATCATTCCACTTAATATTGGTTGCAAGTTGTTAAAATTATGAAGCATATAACATTATTGATGATTACTTTATTGTAAGATACAAATCTTATTGGTTGCAAGACAAATTGCATCATGTTCTCTATACATGGATTAAAATTCCACCAAAAATGCCTCCAAATAATTCAAAATCATGTTGTTCAAGAAAAGATAAAAATTATGATAATAATGAACTTTAAAAAATATATTAATAAATCTAACTTATGATCTTGAAATTAATTAGCATTAGAATTAAAGTTCAATTATTAATTATATTTAATTAATAAATCCTTGAAATTTTGATCTTGTGCCATTAAACTTCACAGATATAAAATCTCTTAATTTACTAATACTTGAAGGATGTTCTAATATAAAAGAGAGAATATAATTTTTTGTAGATGTTGAAGTAGCTCCAATCATTTCTATATCTTCAACTCTTGCTAATCTTATTATTTCTTGTGGTGATAAATTGAATTGATGTATTGTAAGTATTAACCTTTCTAATTTTTTTTGCATTTGTATCATTACCCTCTTTATTTTGACAAGCTTTGTTGTGATAATATAATAAAAAAAAGTGTCTAATATCACTTGAGATAAATAAAAAGAAAGACTTAAAAATAAAGAAAATTCTAATAACAATATTAGTTTAAAAGTAGGTAATTTCTAACTTCTAATATACTTTTGCTTAATGAAGAGAAAGAGATAATCCACTCTTAATCATGAAAAGATATAGCTTTGATATTATAAGTACACTCTTTTTAATTTTTTAAGGATAAGAATTCAAAAGAGATATATAAATAAGTAAAGTAAGTAGCAAAGAGAGATGAAAAAATGATAATAAGAAAGTATGTATATTCAAGAAGAAATTGGAATTACTATTGCCAAAATTTAGAAATCTACAAACTCTTGAAACTAGATTAGAAACAAGAAAAGAATTAACAAGAATAAAGAAGAATTCATTCTTGTCTCAACATATACTATCTAATTAAGAGCTATGCGGCAACATTTTATAGGACTTTGAATGCGCGTTTTAATCTGTAAGATAAGTCTCTTATATATATGCCACATGATTAGCTTATATTACAAGCTACAAATATGTGGCTAAATTGTTGGCCAAGTGTTCAATTTACCAATTATCTATAGACACATATAAAGTTGAATTATACCTATAAAGCTTCTAAGAAGCTTCTCAATAAATTATTTTTAAATAAAATATTTTTATCTATTTAATTATTTAAATAAATATTAGAATAAATATGTATATCTCTGATATCATGCCATTGAAAAAATTAAATCTATAATTTGGTGCATGTTGTCTTCATAGAAAGATTAAACTACTACTTCTTGAAAAAAATTCCTTATTATTTAAACAAATATTTCATAGACAAGTTGAACAAAGCAAAGAATTTTAAAAGATTATTTGATAATATAATGCAACACATATATTTACATCTCTTTGTGCAAAAGTAGACAATACTTTCTTGCAAGAATATGGTCTTTGTAGCTTTTGCATACTTAGAGGGTTTTGGCATTAATGCTTAAAAAAAGCCTTTATAACAAAAACATAGAAGTAATAAAGAACATTATTTGATAGTATTCTCTTTTAATATTTACTTGCACATCCTACAAAGCTATGAGACAAGTTTAAAGAAAGATTTTGTGATAATGTAGATTATCAATTGATCCAAGATCATAGAATTGAAAAATCAACAAAAAGTGAGATATTGTATTATAGACTATTTCTTCTTGATAATATTCTTCAAAAATCAAGCAAAATATTTATTGATTTTTTGTTAATGCCATAGTAAAAAAAACTAAAATAAGAATGCTACAAATTAAATGCTTATGGAGCATATTACATGGTATTACGGCAAGCTAAAATAAATAATAAAAGAATATATTAAATGATAAAGTATATATTATATATTTGGATATTTTTATTATAATAGTTAATAGTATTAAAAAGTTATATTTTTAAAAATAACTAATTAGAAGTAAAAAAATATTTATTTATAATATATCATCAATAAAGTTATAATTAATAAAAATATTGTTTTGTATATTGCTTCTTTGTATATTGCTTCTTTGTTGGTTGGAGTCATTTGTGCAATTGAATGTTTTATAAGAGATGTTGAAGGATCATGGTTGTATTTTCCATTTTGTACTATTAAATAATATTGTATAGTAGCTTAGATACATCATGCATACAATGCAAATAGACACCCAATTAATTAGCTTGCAATATTTTGTTGACAAATAAGATTATTTTGTTCAATAAAAGCATGTCTTTTGTGACATTTGAAATTAATCAATCCATGTTAGATCATTGCTTGCAAACAACATAACTATGTATGGGCAAATTCATATGTATTTTCTTTCATGTCTTCAAAAGAATCAAAAATCCCTACTAGTAGAAGATATATACATATATATATATATATATATGATACAATATCCATTACAAAATCCAAATAACCTAAGAGTAGGCCTTTGTCTATTTCTTTGAACACTAAATAAAAAAACAAAGATATTACAATGATACAATGCAAAGTCACCAGTAAGTTGACTTAGTACATAAGAAGATATAGTTCTAATAATGTAGGATAAAGAAAAAATACCATTGATTCTAACCATTGATAGTTAGTCATTATTATTGATAATATTTCTATTATTGTATCAATTCCATTTTTTAAAAAATATTATTGTATCAATCTAAATATCGATCATAATAATGATGATGTACATGAGGTTGACATTCTATGTACTTTGGGACAATACACGAGTCAATTTAATAAAATCCAAGATCATTTTAATATGTCTCTTGATATAAAACAAAGAGACAAAGAAGCCTTTGAATTGGCTGTAAAAAATAAATAAATAAATAAATAAATAAATAATGAAGAACATGAAAATTTAGAAACAAAAAAAATCCTTGAAAAAAAAAAAAAAAAAAAAAAAAAATCATTGATGAACAAGAAAATAAATTGATGTATTTGAAATACTTTGAAATTGTGGTGGAATCATTACATTACAGCATTAAATCTTCACACTGATATCATGTTTTTCATTTTTTTAAGATAAGTATTTACAAGATATTGCATTCAATTGCATTCAATTGCATTTAAACATAAAAATAAGACCAATGATCCTATTTGATTAATATATAAAAAATATTGAATTAATTTAGGTCTCTCTTCACAATGTTGTTGCAACAATTTGCATGTTCCCCAAGGCAAATTAAATCATTGGGTGTACCCCAGTTGTGTCAAAAAAGAAAAAAGAAAAAAGAAAAAAACGAAAAAAAGAGAGAGAGAGAGAGAGAGAGAGAGAGAGAGAGAAAAAAAAATTGCACATGAATATTAGGCAATTGGATGATGCAAAAAAAATTACAAGCACACTAATACCATTTTTTTTTCTTTTTTTAATAATCGAATTGAGAATCAAATTAATTTTACAAAAAGAATTCAGCTTTACAACCTAGAAAGTTAAATTTTGAAAAAAATAATTATTTAGAGAGCCATGAAATATTTGTTTAAAAATAAATAAATAAATAAAATCTCAAATTCAAGATGTGAAAATGGTTCTCTGTGCACAGAATCAGTCGAACCATTGGATGATTAGTAGTGTTGGATGAATGAAACGCTTGAGACGGAAAGCTCCTGACTGACCCTGGCCAGGCGGGCTGGGCCCGGCCGGGTCGTGATCGGGTCGGTTACAGACCCGCCCGGGTATATTCCAGCAGTATTGGCGACATGAGGCCTCTTCGTCGTTGCAAGCTCGAGAGGTGGCCAATCTCAACCGCGGCGTTATTGTTATATGAGAGAATTGCAGTGATAGATTTAGTGAGTGATTGCTCGGGGTTTTTTGATTTCTGAACCGATACCATGAGGGTCAAGAAGCAGAAACAGCTTCGACGTCACGTGAGCTTCTACAAAACCTGCTTTGGATTCCGGGAGCCCTTCAAAGTTCTCTGCGATGGCACGTTCGTGCACCACAATCTCGCTCAAAGGCTCGGAGCTCTTCCGGATTCCCTCTCTACTCTCCTCGGAGCACCTGCGAAGCCCATCGTTTCGAGGTACATCTCGATTCCAGGTTTTGGGGTTTCCAGGGTTTATGGTTTACGTTGCAGCCGACTGCAGTGCTGAATGCTCGAATTGCAGGTGTGTGATAGCAGAGCTGAAGAAGCTGGGTGAGGCGTACTCGGGTTCTGCGCTCGCTGCTAGGCGCCTGGACTTGATCAAGTATGGTTCAAATCCTTTGCTCGTCAGTAGAATTGTGTGCTGCTATATTCAGGGTTTAGGGTTTGGTAGACGGTCGCGTGGGGCGAATAGAGATGACACAAGTGTAATTGAAATGTATGGTCAATTCGCGTCGAGTCTGAATGGAATTTGCGCAGTTTTTTTCCGATTTAGACAAGGGGTTTATCTTGCCCCTGGAGTGCATTTTACATCAAATACTAGAGTAGTGACGATTAGCCTGTTTAGTACGAGGTGTAGGTCTTCACTCAATTCCAGACGTTGCTCCAATTACAACACGTTTTTCATAGTATACTTCAAGGCACTAGATAATACTTTGTTGATCAGTTTTATTTGCTCGTCAGTGTATTGAGAATTCCATTACTGGCCCGTTCCGATACCATTTAGGTTTCCCGTTTTCGAACAACAGTAACTTTGACAAGGTGCGATGGGAATTTGGTAAGATTGGGGTTTATAAGTTCATCGTGGATTCCTTTAGTGTTAGATGCACTTTTCAAGCAAGTAGCTTCTACAAGATTGACCGCTTATCGTAGTCCATGCAATTTTCAGATGCGATCATGATCCAAGTCTTCCAGCTTCAGAGTGTCTGACTACTTTGGTGGGTAGTCATAATGAGGAGCACTATTTTGTGGCTACTCAGGATGTTGATTTGCGAAAACGGCTGCGCAAGGTGTGCATTTAATAAGATCTTTCGTTTGCCTAATGCTTATACACCTTAGGTAATAGGTTGGATGAGGCCTCATAATAAAGTTATCACCCATGTAATTTTCCGCTTTTTCTTTTACATATTCCCTGTCGCGTGGAGCACCTGCAGGTGCCGAATTCAAATCTTAGTGCCCTCATACTGCATTATCCAATTCCCATGAAGGCAAGCGGGTGTAGGGTGACCTAGAAACACTCAACAGGTTTAACTGATTCTTTCTACTGTCAGGTTCACGGCGGGGCTCTGATTTATGCAAACAATACGTCATTAGTATTGGAACCTCCCTCAGACACACAACGACTGTATGCTAAAATGGGCGAGATTGAACGCAATCGATTGAGTGAAAGGGAGAAGCATTTATTGACGTTAAGGGAAGAGAAGCTGAATAAGAAAGATGATGAGGTGAAAAGAGAGGATGGTGCAAACGGAAACGATGCCGCTGCAGGTGCCTCATCCTTGCAAATGAATAATGCTAAGAGAAAACAGAATCCCCTTGGAGTTGCCGATCGACCTGTTTTGAAAAGAAAACGTGCTAAGGTGCTCACCTTTTTTCTTAACGTTGTCGAACAACAAAATATTTAAATCATCTGTGAATTGTATCGTATGTTAATTTCATACTTCTGCATACAACTTCTTCACCTTAATCACCCTGCTCAACTGTTGAATGTCTCTGGTTTTCACAGGGACCGAACCCTCTATCTTGTAAGAAAAAGTCAAAGAAAGTGGAGCAGAAGAATACCGAACAAGTTGGTTTCAATACCCTTGCATCCATCTTTGATTCTTGGAACTCCTTTTTTTATTGCTTCATCTTCAGTGTCTGGTACCTTTTGTAGGTTAAGATCACAGAACTCTGATAGCACACTGTAATTTAAGTCATGCATACTGATCTGGAACAGCAATAGTTTCAGGGGCGCATATCTCAGCATTACATTATTAGAAAGAGAAATTACCTGTCAGTTCAAACTAGATATCATGGCGTTGGGAGTTGGTTCTAATATCTTTTGCATCAGCAGAGATCGACTGCAACTGCGAATGTAGCTGGGGCGCAAGAGAAGAAGAAAAAAGCTAGGAAGAAACGAAAGAAGTCAACACAAAACAGCGGATCAGAGAAGATAGACACTTCAGCTGCATCTTAATTATCTTTCAATTCCATGATGGCATCAAAATTAAGTTTTTGAGTGCTGCAAAAATTTTGTATGAACATTTTGAGGATTTAACTATCCTAGAACTGGTGATTTATGCAACTGTCCACCAAGGTCTGAAACAACTAGGGTCAAATTCACCTTGTAACACGAAAAGATTGAAGTCCGAATAGGTTCGATGACGCAGTGGAAGATCAATGGCAAAGAAGATCCTTCGGAAGAATGGCATTTAGCAATGTCACTGTGATCAATGGGAATTATAATTATTTACATAGAAATGAAACTGTGCTAACACAAGCAAGTGACAAAAGAAATATTTAAAAAGTTTATGTTGGCATATTCATATTCTTATCGTTGTTTCGTGACATTTCGATTTATGATATGTTGTGCTAAAAAACCGACACCTCTTGTACTTTTTGAAGTAAGTTAGGGGCAGTGGGCAAGAGATTGCAACGTGCAAGGCTTGTGATTTGTTAAAATCAAGATGCCTTTTGTGGTTGGTTTTTATACTTAGAAAAAGATGAGGTAAAATGCACTTTATACCTACATGATATAAATAATATTGTTTTGTGGAATTTGTATCAGGTACATCAAAGTGGTGGTATTTTTTAAAACTTTGAGAAGCTATTTGAAAAGTTGTGTAAAAACCTTCTAAACCTACTTTTGAATTAATTAATAAACATGATTTTGGTATTTGTCATAATTGATAAATTTTCTAAATAAGATACCACATCTAAATTCAGAATAAAAATATATATTTTGTTCATGTCATGACCTTGTTTTACTTTATATTATTTCCAATGGTTGAAGCTTTTTTCAAAATTGAGACTCTCAAAAAACAACTGTTGTTCACCAAGATGAGGGCTTTCATCAAACATTTAGACTACGGCCTTTCACAGTGGGATTTTAGATATAAATCCCCTTTAATAGATGAATTGATCCTAAACTGAATCAATCAAAAAAATCAATCAACTTGAAGTTAGTGCTGCATGATTAAATTTAAGAAATTAATACAACAATTGTTGTGCACAATGTATTATTAGAATTGCTTGTACATGTAGTGCTTGACTGAGCTATTAAATGCAAATATTACAAAAAAATGTATTTTTTCCCACCGTTTCTAAACAAATTTGTCATAAATTTAACAAACTGAAAAGAAAGATTTCTTTGATACATAGCAAAATTTGATTATGTGTTCCTAATGTTAGAAGTCCATTGTTTTAAACATTTTCAACACTATTGTTATGAAACAAAACTAACAAGTAAAATTTCAAAACAAAATCTGTTAAATTTACTTCACTATCAAAACACAGATGATTTTCAAATACCTAAAGGACAAAAAAGCAAAACCAAAAATTAGGAAATGCATGGGTCCATTTAGTAAAAGCATGAGACTATTTAATATTCCCATACACACACACACACACATATATATATATATATATATATATGTATTGTTTCACCCATACATCAGGCAAAATGACCCAACACTGCTGAACATTAAAATTAATGCCTAGAAAAGCACAAACAAACCACCAAAAGTGGAAACAATTCACGCAAACAGTGCTCCTCGTGGCAACAACTCCAATGCAAACACAAGACCAGAGTTTGTGCACAGCTGAAGCTCGACGAGAGAAGAATAGACACACTCACACAGAGACACACACCATCACACATCGGCAAAAGCTCGATCGAAGCCAAGTGTAAAGGTGTGGGTGTCTGGGGTTGTTGTTGTTGTTGCTGCTGCTGCGGTGGCATCAAGCTTATCTGCAGGGTCAGCAGCTGCTGAGTCTGCTCAAGCTCCAAAGCTCTTTCTCTCTCTCGTTCTCTCTCTCTGGCTCTCCACCTGCTTTTCGTGCGCTTCTGATTGCAGAAATTCCAGATCGAGCTCGGTATCCGTTGTGTGTGTCGGCTGAGATTGCAGCTTGTGAACAGTGGTAGCTTTTGCCCTTTTATTTGTTTTTTGTTTTGTTTTCCAAAAGATTCCGGTTTGTGGTCTGGAGCTTTCAAGGTCCTGGGGCCGGTGTTCTCGTTGCTTCGGTTTGTGGGTCCACCCGTATCCTCGTTTTCACCGTCAGCTTCCGGATGGTTTTTTTGCCCTTGTGTGGGTTTGTTGGGTTCAGCTGCATGTGGTCGCGTGAGAATTACAAGGTGTCTATTTCCTCGCAGCGTGTGTTGGTTTTTGAGCCGTGGCTTTGATGCGTGCTCAGCAGGTGGTTTGGTGTGGAGGCTGTTTAGAGTTTGCTGTCCTGTGCCCTGATCGCGGCATACTGAATCGGGTTGGAGGAGTTGCTGGATTAGGGAGGTGGAGAGGAGAGTCTTTAGGGAGTACAAGAAGCACTGGGTTGGTCCACACTGGGTTGTAGAAGTTCCGTTTGTCTGTGTTTCGTGAATTGCCGCCATGGCTGCTCTGCCTACAATTTGTTTGTCAGCTCTGAGGGCGCTGATCAGTGGGGTTTCGTTGGATTCGCCTGACGCGCCCTCAAGCGTCTCGACAAGTGCAGAACCGTCGTTGGGAGTTTCACCGCCGTGCACAACATCTTTAGCCTCCTCCTCTTCCTCCTCGAGAATCGATAACGAGCATTTGTATAACAAGGATGCCGATGAAAAATCAAGAGAGGTCAGTGGTTTCTTTTCATCACAAGAATCTACGAATTTCTTAGATGTTTTTGTTTTTTGTTTTTTGAGGCATTCGAGTGTGAGGATTCGAAAATTTCTGAATCCTCTCGGCTTTATAGATTTGAAACAGGGTGATTTGCAACCAATACTCTTATAGTTCTTTGCATGGAAGCCGGAAGACGGATTTGTCGAAAGAGTGCTCTAGATTTTCACTGGAATGGCTTCTTCGAATTTGAAGTAACTTTTGTACTCTTATATATATATATATATATATATATATATATATATATGTATATATTGTTACTTCCAAAGAATTCTAAAACCAAGTTAGATTGTCAGGCCATGTGCCTCTCTTGCCAGTGATAGATTGAACCCATTTTGTGTGTGTTGAAATTTCGGATGTGCTTCAGTAATTATGTAGAGTACTGTTCCCCATTTTTCGAGTAGGCTGTGTAGCTTTTCTTCCAGTGAGGTAGAAAATATGAATGAAATCACCTATTTACAAATTAGTGAGTATTTTTCAGGATGAGTACATCGAACGAGACTATGAATTTGCAGGGTTGCAAAGATTCGGACGGGCCAGTCTCGTCGCCCTTGCGGCAGCCTCATTGTGCTACTCAGCTTCAGATCCTGCACTTGCCCTTCAGGTATGTCTACAATTGAAGAAATTTTTACTGGTTAGACTTGATGGTTGACATTCTAGCTGTACGTGTTTCCAAAATGAAGGAGGTTTTTAAGGTCTTTGATGGAGTCTGTTTGTTTAGGGCGGTGATCGATACAGACAAGAGGTGACATTCGGCCAGGACTTGACGGGAAGAAATTTATGTGGATCGACACGGACGGTAAAGCCACTGTTGTACTTGGCATTGCCTTGAATCTCATTTGCTGATGCACAAAAATGTGATTTAGCTTTGCATGGCGTAATCAAGTCGTGTCACTTTTTAAACTTTATATTCATTCTTGTGTGCAGTCCACATTTCGGCAGGAAAACTCTCAAGGGGTGAAGCTGTTAAGCACTAGCTTCTTCGAATCGGACTTGACTGGTAATTGGATTCACCGACCCTCGCTTCAGTAAAACGACAAGCCACCTCAGATTAATTTTGTTGAAGTATTCATTTGAGTTAAGTGTAAGTTCCTTTGGACTTATTAGACCTCCGTGTGTTTCCAGGAACCGATCTTGTTGATGCGAACTTTCGAGTAGCTGACTTCTCGTTAGCCGGTGTTGCAAAGGTACACCTCTTGCTGTGTGATCTTTTACTGGCTTTTAGGATTTGGTTTGTGTTTTGGGATTTCTCTGGCAGTGAATTAATAAGAATCGTTAGCCTATGTATTGTTTGGAATTAGTCCTAATAATTCAATCTGAGTGTGGTATTTTAGAGGGGTATCAGTTGTGGAATTTATAAAGGTGAAATTACCAGACAGTTTTTTTCTACTTTACATAGTGATGTTGTGGAGATCGTTTATACTAAATGCTAAAAAAAGAGCAGTTGATTTGTGGGTTTTTTAAGGATCAGGAAACATCAATCTTTGCGTTAGAGGCAGTATTGCTGAACTTAGCCTGATCTTTTTTTTTTTTTTTTTTTTTTTTTTTTTTTCCCGTTTCTGATCTCTCTTCATAACTGACACGCAGTCGAACCTTACCAACTCCAATCTCGAGGGAAGCTTGATGACGGAAAATACTTGGTTTAAAAGTACCGCGATTACTGGTGCTGGTACATCTTCATTTATTCTTCAAATATCTCGCCGTGTTACTAGATTTTTTCAATAGCTTGTCCTTCTCCTCATTATGAGATGAGCACAGTCCTTAGTTTGGCTTTTGCCCTGATGTTGTCTTTGTTAAGTCTGTCATGTTTTTTTTTATAGTATGCGATACCTCATAGGATATCTTTTATTCGCTTCAGTTGCACAAACGTGGTCAGCGAGCAAAGAACTTACGGGGGGTGGTTTTGTGTTGACAGAGTTCACTGAAGCAGACTAGAGAAATGATCAGTAGAAAGAACTATTCGAGATTGCTGACGGGTTAGCACTGTTCCTTTATTAGGATTACATCTTTCTTAAAGCTTGCTACATTACCTTTTTTCTAATTGTAAGAATTTTGGCCGTTCATCGTGTTATACTAATATTTTCACAAACTATCACGCAATTTGCCTATCATGGCAGCTCCATTGTAATTAGATACACTTCGATGAGCACTGACATATCTTCTTTTCTACAGAACAAGCCCTGTGACTAGCGATTCTACTCACGAAACTTTTTCATGTGATTGGAGCGCGAGCAAACAGCTTGACTTTATATCAATGTACCTGCAAACCCTTCAGCTGCTCATTGAATGCGAGAAGCGTTAGATTTCTATGCAGGTGACCAAGACTGGAAGTTTTGTAGGACGAAGTACATAGCTCAAACGGAGTGAAGAACTGGTTCACGATTGTGTTGTACATTTCGTATGTAGAAGATATATTTGGTAAGGATTGCAACTAAATCTGTACTTCAATGTGTTAGAAGAAGTCCTAGCCTTGCAGAAAAAACCCGCCCACAAGTTGGAGTCGATGTAGAAAAAGACTACTCTGCATTGCTTTTCTTGGACTGTATATCGACTATCACTAGAAAGAGGATGAGTGATGGTTTGAATGATCAGGAAGGTAGTAGACCCTTCTTCACTCAGTCGTCGCTCTCTTTGGGTGTCACCACGTCGTTATGCTAAAGGACTGGGTGCTAGGATGCCACAAGACCAATGAGTGATGTTACTATTACTAACATTTTTGTGTGAGGATCAAAGATGGGCAGAGTGAGGCTGTTGGGCTTCCCAACAAAAACTTGTATATATAGTCTCCCACATCCGAGTCGGCTGCTTGTTATCATAAACATCAATGTTTGGTGAATTGCAATTTGAAGTAGATCTGAGGAGAGTGTTGCAATGTGAAATTGACTGTGGGTTTTGATGCTTCTGAAATTGTTGTGCAACTCCATCGCTGTTCCAACTCAACGTTTTCTGGCATTTTGTTGTGGAACTGTGTAAAGTTTGTATGTTAAATTGAGCTCTCCACATGTTAGCAATTAGTTTCCTATGCTATTTTAATTTTTAATTTTTAATTTTTTTTGTTTTTGTTTTTGTTTTTTTTTTGAGCTCAAATCAAATATCCTTTCAATGAAATTAAGGTGTAAGTCTAATTCCTTATATTTTAGGGTGGGTAGAAGTTTTAGATTATTTTAATTTTTTAAATATATGTCATCAACTCAAGACATTTCTATTCTTACATTTTTAGATCAAACAATTTTTTTTGCAATAATAATATCAAAAAATTAAAATTATATAGTTAATTATTCTCAATTAATTAATTAGTCTATTTAATTTTAAATTTCAGTAGCCCTCCTATTGCATTGCATATTTTAAACAATAATATTTTTTAGGAATTAGATTTCTAAGATTTCTTTGTTTAATCATAATATTTATTGATTAATTGTATATATGACAAATGTTTAGATGGAAGGCTTTGGACATAATAAAATAGTGTATTTCATTTTGATTCTTTTCAGAAGTTTCACAATTAGGGCATTAATTTTAGAAAATTTTATTCTTCCAACTTGAGTAGGAAAATATAAGCTTAGGATTTTGAAGCTAAATTACCATTGCAATAACCTAAGTATAAACTTATAAAATTGTAACAAAATAAATGATAAATAAAAAAAAATGTAAATTGTGTCTTTATTTTTTGTAATTTCTTGTAATATTGTAATTGCACCAATTATGACAAAATTAGAATTCTATCATATATACTTATTTTATACTTCAAATGTTTTTAGGGAGATTGAAGGCACGGATTTGAAACAATTTTTATTGAAATTCTTATAATTTTTGTCTCATTTTGGATCAAAGTTTCTATTAGTGGCTTGAAATAAGACACTTACATAATCAAGCCATTCCTTTATTGTGATTGATTTTATTCTTTTATTCCTTTATTGTGATTGATTTTATTTTTTTATTCCTTTATTGTTATTGATTTTATAACCATAAATCTATATTAAAATAATATTTTAAAATTTTTAATTTTTTATATGTAAATTCTAATTATTTATTTTAATATTGAATAAACATTACTTGATTTGAATATATTAGCTCCAAACATTCATTTATATTAGATTTGTAACAAATTTTTTAAATAAATTTTGATTAGAATAATCATTGGATTCAATTTCATATAAAGTTCTAAAATATTATTTTGATTTTTTAATAGCTTTAAAAAAAACCAACCTTAATAGATATGAAAAATAAAACAAAAATAAAAATTATTTGCAACAATGGTGTTTTTGTATAGTGTAAAGTCTTATTAAATATAAATAATGTACTTTTTTCCTTGATTTTTTTTGTAATAATTTATTCTCTATTAGAAATTAAAAATAAATTATTATTATTGTTATTATCATAGAGCCATTAATATATTAATTCAATATTTGATAACCTTTATTTTTTGGTAGATAGATAGAAAAAAATTTATTTTTATTTTTTATTTATCCTTGATTACTTCTTAAATTGTTAGATTATTTATATTTTCTACTATGAAAAATAAATAGTTTATTAAATAAAATTCCTATCTAAATAAATTATTGACTAATAATATTTTTATTATCTTTCTGTTAACAAAAAAAATATTACTTTAGCCTTTGTAAAGAATAGATTAATTATATTCATAAACTATAAATGTAAATTCAATTTTTTTGTCTATATCAATTAAAAGTACTAAGATGTCAAGGTGTCATGGACATACATTAGAAGATTCTTCGAATATTCTTTTAGAATATTCTCTAAAGATTCTCTAAAGATTCCTTTAGAAGGTTCTAGAAGATTCTTAGAATATTCCCTAAAGATTCTCTTAGAAGGTTCTAGAATATTTTTAGAAGGTTCTAGCATATTCTGATAGATTCTAGGAAGTTGCTCGAGAAGTTTCCTAATTAGTAGAAGTTGTTGGAGAAGCGTCCTAGTTAGCGGAAGTAGCTCGAGAAGCTTCCTATTCAGTAGTATATATAGGAGTCGAGGCTGAAGGGTTCTTCAGTCTCGACAACACATCTCTTGGAGTTTTAGCTCACCTTTCTGGTGTTGTTCTTGTACTCATCTGTTTAATCTAGTTCTGCCACTTCTTCTTGAACTTCTTGTTAGATTTCAAGTCTGTATTTTGTGTCCGTGACAGTTTGTCGAGACTGCATTTTCACTGGTATCAGAGCTAGTTCCTTCTTGTTAGAGAGTGGATTACCCCTCTTCTTGAAGGTGTGCTAGTGTTTTAGAGGTTGCGGATTACCCTCCTCTAAACTGATATCTCTTCTTTCTCAATATTGGAGCCTTATTCTTCTTGGAGAGAGTGGATTACCCCTCATCTTGGAGTCTTAAGGCGTTTTAGAGGTTGCGGAGTACTCTCCTCTGAACCAATATTGTCCTCTTGTCAAAACTCTTTTTTCTTCTTTCTGAAGGTTAGCCGAAGGTTAAGACGTTAAAATGGCTGAAAGTTTGGAATCCAAACTAGACGCCATCATAAATGCTCTTGCCTCGTTGTCACATAGGACAACAGAGATCGAAGGAATCATGGTAGGACTCCATAACAATGGAGCATCTGGGATAGCGCCATCTAAAGCATATCAGTCTCAAACTTCTGCGCCAGAAGAAGCAGTTCTACCTCAATTTCAACAAGATCGAGTAGTCCTACAACGAAAGGAGCCTCGAGTTAGTCTTCCGGATAAGTTTGATGGAACTCGTTCCAAGTTTCGAGGTTTTGTCAACCAAATCAGGTTGATAACAATTTTACAGCCCGAACGTTATCCGACGGAAGAAGCGCGTGTTGGGCTTGTTGGAACCTTGCTTACAGCACAAGCTTTGTCTTGGTTTACTCCCTTGTTCGAGAAGCGATCGCCAATCCTGAGCAACTTTGAAACGTTCTTGGAGGCATTTGCAGAAGCATTTGGCGAGCATGATAAAGTTCGATGGGCTATAACAAAGATCCGATCGCTACGACAAGGAACAAGCTCTGCATCAGTCTATGCCTCGGATTTAAGACAATTGGCAAGTGACATTAATTGGGGTGAAGAGGCGTTGGTGAGTCAGTTTTATTGGGGCTTGAAAGATGGTGTGAAGGACTTGCTGTTATCTCTTCCTGATCCTCAAACGCTCAACGAAGCTATTAGCCAAGCTGTAAAGTGTGACAACCGCCTATTCCAGCGTCGCCAAGACCAACGTCCAAGACACCAAATGACTCGTTACGACGTGACTATGTCTGTAAATAGCTTAAACTCACATTCGGAGGCAACAGACATGCAAATCGACACGGCGCGTGTCCAATCTCTTACTCCAACAGAGAAGAAACGGCGTATGGAGGAAGGGTTATGTTTGTACTGTGGAGAAGAAGGTCACAAGGTTGGAAATTGCCCAAAGAAGCAAAATTGGCACCCTGTCAAGACTAGAAGTGCGATGATTCCGGAAAACGACGACGCCCAGCCACAGTAGGAACCGTGCGGCTGGACAATCTAATATCACGACAACAATCAGGTTCCTCCTTCTCTATCCAACCTGCCCGTTGTTTTACAATTCCTTTGTTTTTAGGCCCTCAAAAACAAAAAACTTTAGCTTTATTGGATTCGGGGGCATCTACTTGTTTTTTAGATGAAGAGTTTGCTAAACGCCACAAGATCCGTTTAGTACAGAAGTCCAAACCTGTTCACGTAGAGGTGATAGATGGACGACCCTTATTGTCAGGCAACGTTACCCACGAATCAGAACCTATAGAAGTGGTGTTTAAGGACCATAGTAGTCACGTTATTTTTAATATTATTAGAACCCCATCAAGCCCTGTTATCCTTGGTCTTCCTTGGTTAGAAGATCATAATCCGTCCATTGATTGGAGGCTACGAAGGATAACATTTCCTGAAAAAAATAATAATAAACCTGTTGGTAGAACCTACATGAAGAAATCCATGTTTATTGGAGCGAAAGCGTTCCTAAGATCGTCTAAGGAAGGCGCACCATTTGTCATTTATGCAGCTCCAACTAGCGGCGAGAATATCTCAACATCGAATATACTAGAGCAATATAGGGATTTTGAAGACGTGTTTCAGAAGAAGAACGCCGATATATTGCCGAAACATCGACCATATGATTGCGCCATAGACTTAGAGGAAGGAGCGCAACCACCTTTTGGTCCAATATACAACCTATCGCAGACGGAGTTGGCAGAATTGCGGAAGTACATCGATGAGAATCTAGCCAAGAATTTTATTTGACATTCAAAGTCGCCAACTGGAGCACCAATCCTATTCGTGAAGAAAAAGGATGGCTCACTGCGGATGTGCGTGGACTACCGAGGACTCAACAAGGTGACCAAGAAAAATCGCTATCCCTTACCTTTGATCTCCGGCCTCTTAGATCAACTTGGACGTGCAAGGATTTTTACAAAGATTGATTTAAGAGGAGCCTACAACCTTGTGCGAATCAAAGAAGGAGATGAATGGAAGACAGCCTTTCGTACAAGGTATGGCCATTTTGAGTACAATGTCATGCCTTTTGGTCTTACCAATGCTCCATCGGTCTTTCAGCATATGATGAACGACATCTTTCGGGAGTACCTCGATGACTTTGTTGTCATCTATCTGAATGATATTTTGATATTTTCCAAGAATGAAGAAGAACATGAGAAGCACGTTTGTTTGGTTCTTGAAAAACTACGCGAACAAGGACTCTACGCCAAGTTGGAGAAGTGTCAATTTCACCAGAATGAGATGGAATTTTTGGGCTTCATTGCGACTACAGAGGGCTTGAAGATGGATCCAAAAAAGGTAGAAGCAATTATATCTTGGGAAGTTCCGAAGATGGTTAGAGATGTTCAGTGTTTTCTTGGATTTGCTAACTTCTATCGGATCTTCATCAAGAATTATTCTCAAGTTGC